AAATAACCCCAATCCTATGTGGCATAGCTCTTTGGCTTCTATTTCAAATCCAAAGGATTCTAGAGCATGTGATATAATGTATAGTCTAAAAATTATACTCCCTAGCAAATTTAATATTTCGTAGGTTATAGTTGGTCGCATATATCAAATATTTATTGTTTCACATGCTTTCCTTAAATAAAACCTACGGAATTACCTAATGTGATTAAAATATATATATGACAATTAATGATTTTAAACAATAAAGATTTGATAACAATCTATATACTTTTTCTCATTTTGTTTATTTCTTTATTATTAAAATAAATTACACAATTACATTAATCATATAATAAAAATCTAGATTTTTTTTCGTGTATGTTGTATTTTGAATTTTTCAAAATGAGTATAAATTACTAAAACTGTTAAAAGTCTTACATGAATTTTTAGGATCATGGTTTTAATTCTTTTTATATATTAAAATATAATGATTATAAGACCATATGAAGAAATAATTTTAGTTTATATATATTTCATATCGTTTTAATTAAACTATACATCGTATGAAAATACATACTTATATTTTGATATTTGCCTTGAACATATATTGAAAAGTTAATATTTTAATGTTGAAATATGTCATTTTTTAAAAAATGATTATAAATTGAAACTACTAAACATCTCACATTAAAAACATGCGTTGTTGTAAAGTTTTATTACACAAATATGCAAATAATCATAAAATCACATGAGTAGAAACGTCATTTAATAAATATCTATATTAAAATTGTGCTATATTATTATGTTTATATCATTTAAATTTAAATATATATCATATACAATATATAAGATTGATTATTTTGATTTATTTATCCTAATTGCGAATAAACATGAGTGATAGTTAAATTTATATGCATACGCCAATTTAATACATAATAGTAACTGATTTCTTAGTTATTTAATATCTATATTTATTATTTTATTATTTTATAATATACATAAAAATATAAAATAAATAATAAATATAAAATACTTATTGTGCATAAATTGCCGATCTTAACCTAAGTATGTATATCTTTAATTATTTTAAATCTTAAGTATTTTCTAAATCTCAGGTCAAAACAAACAAACGAAATGAGAATAAACTTCATATATCGAGTAATAACAAAAATATAAAAAACACAACAAGAGAAAAATTGAAGATAAATAGGATTGACACGTGAACATAAACTTCTCATAACCATAATTAATTTTTAAATTGTTAAATCATGATATAAAACTGAGTTAATTTTTAATTTGTTAATTTTTAAACTCTTTAATTTTTTTAAATCAATATGGTTATTTTAAATCATGACCATAATTAATTTTAAATTATTTATTTGTATTTGAAAAACTTAAAATATTATTTTTAAAAATAATTTAAAATTTAACTTAATTTTATATAAAATTATTTTAAAAATATAATTTGTAAAAAAATATAATTTTCTAATATTATTAGAAAAATAAATAAATTATATTAAATTAGTTTTGAAACTTTACATATTTTAAGTGCAAATATTTTATCAACTGCTTCTTAAAAAACATTAGGGAACTTGCTAATACTCTACCAATCAAGCGCAATGACACTCTGTTTATTTTCCATCAGTCGAACACTGAAAAGTGAAAAGATATATAAATCGGGTCTATTAAATTCTAAGATTTGATCTAGAGTTCTAATTACAATTGTTTCTGATCCTACGTATAGATAATTATATAAAATTCCAAAATTCTAAAATTTCAAATCCATAGAAAAACAATCATATATAAATTTTAAATTTATCAGTACTAAAATTTTATATTTTAACTACATATATTTACCCTGCGCAAGGCGCAGGTCTTATCCTAGTTCTCATTTAAAACTCTAACAGAGATGCTTAACCTTTCCAATAATGTTATCTAGAGAGAAGGAGAAGACTAAAACCGTGATATGATCGGTTTTAGACATAGACTAATCGGTCAATGCTTCCATTTTCTCGAATAACGATGTTTCCATCTAACATGTAGCATCAACAAGCAAAAGCTAAACCCAGCTTAACTTCTTAGGTAATGTGAATAGATGAAAAAATATTTTATCTTGGATCGGCAGCAACGCACACGCGTCCATGTCCCAACCACGTGCATTCTCACGTGCCCGACTTTTAATTATTGGGAAAACCCCCTAAAACCTTGTCCAACTCGGTTAGAGACTAACCTGAAATTCACGAGCTTAGATATAGTAGTGAATTGGTTTATATGTTATACTCATTTTTTAAGTACAAAGTTGTTTTGTCATAACACTCAAAAACAAAAATGGATTCTTGGGTACTCAAGTTGCTGCTTCCACAACTTCTGCTTGTGTTAATTCAGTATGCTGATGCAAACTCCATCATCAAATATCTTCCTGGTTTTGAAGGCCCTTTGCCCTTTGAGCTTGAGACCGGGTTTTGTTCTGTTTTATTCATCTTATTCTCCAAATTAATATATCATTCTAGTGAAGAGTTTTGTAGTTAAATTCATTTTCAGGTACATTGGTGTTGGTGAGGCAGAGGAAGATCAAATGTTCTATTACTTCATAAAATCTGAGAGGAACCCTGGAGAAGACCCTCTTCTTGTCTGGTTAACTGGAGGACCTGGATGCTCTTCTCTCACTGGTCTTGTTTATGAGAATGGTAAGTTACTCTTCTTTTAACTCATTCTTATTTGTCTCTATAGTGTTTTCAATGACTTGTTTCAATTGGAAAAATCAGGTCCTCTTGCTTTCAAGGTTGAGGCCTACAATGGAAGTATCCCTTCTTTGGTCTCTACTACATATTCATGGACTAAGGTAACTAATGCGATGTACAAAGTATGTTCTTTGTTTTATTAGTTTGTTACCAGTATATGATGTAAACACTATTCAGAATGATAGCTTCATCTTGAAGTTTAGAATGATTGCTTCTTTTTAGGTTGCAAATATAATCTATTTGGACCAGCCTGTTGGGACTGGCTTCTCCTACTCAAGAAACCCACGTGCTGATAAACCAAGCGACACAAGAGCAGCTAAGCGGGTCAATGAGTTTATTCGTAAGGTAAAGGGAAAGTTCAAACTGTCCGTTGAAGCATAGACTTTTAGAGATTTTGTTATTATTGTTGGTTATTGTTGTGCAGTGGCTAGACAAGCATTCTGAATATTTCTCCAATCCTTTTTATGTAACTGGAAACTCTTATTCTGGTAAGGTGGTTCCAGCCATCGTTCAAGAAATCTCAAATGGTAAGTTTGTTCTTGCATCACTTCAATCCTTATCCAAGCCCTTTTCTTTGACTACCTTTTCCTGATTCAGTTATTTTACCAATTAATCACAGGAAATTATATATGTTGTAAACCTCAAATAAATCTCCAGGTTCATCAGTGTTTGCTTGTTTCTTACTTTAAGTCAGTATACCTTATCAAGCATTAAGAACTGAAGTTTTGTTTTCTTCCTTTCTACGCTTTCCAACAACAGGGCTATGTGCTCGGGAACCCGGTAACAAACTTTGATTTTGATAATAATACTCGGGTTCCATTTGCTCATGGAATGGCACTCATCTCTGATGAACTCTTTGAGGTACCAATTAAAAAAAAACTGGATTCTTTCATCTCTTGTAACCACAATGAAGTAGTTAAAGAACAATTACAAACGCTTACTTTTGTAGGCGATGAAGAGAAGCTGTGGAGGAGACTATTTTCATGTGGATTCTCTCAACATAGAATGCTTGAAACTCGTTAAAGAGTACAAGAAGGTATATACACACATTTTGGAATTTAGTTAGTTGTACGAAATGCCACTCAATGGTAAACCACTAACTTATTTTTTTGTGTTCATTTACAGTCTGTCTCTAGAGTATATAAAGAACTTGTTCTAGAATCAAATTGTGACAAAACATCTCCTGATTGCTACGTAAGCTTTTTGGTATCTTTGGATCAAATGGCTAGCCACTGAACAAACTACTCGAGAAGAGTACTGAACAAGTTTGTTTTGTGCAGATGTATCGGTATTCTCTGTCTGAATACTGGGCTAATAACGAGAGCGTACGTGGAGCACTTAAAGTGGCAAAGGTAATATATATGACAAGTTGTTTAGAATCAAATTGATCATATATTGGTTAAATCTGATGATCAAACTCTATAATTGCAGGGGACTAAAGGGAAATGGGAGCGATGTGACAGCGCGAATGTACACTGCATTCAAGACATTAAAAGCAGCATACCATACCATATGAACAACAGCATCAAAGGCTATCGATCTCTCATCCTCAGGTACACCAAAGTTTAACGTCTTCACATGCGTTCTTCATTAATTAATTGGTTTGAAAAACTTCTGACATTCATGTTTATGGTGAAAAGTGGTGATCACGATATGACAATCCCTTTCGTTGGAACTCAAGAGTGGATAAGGTCCCTAAACTTTTCCATTATTGAGACATGGAGGCCTTGGATTATAGAAGATAAAGTCGCTGGGTATAATACACCAATCATTTTTCTTTGTTTTCTTGATTTATTTTAGTTCATTGTGCATTAAGCTTGCCAACCTTTTTATTTGCAGATACACCCAGACTTATGCTAATAAGATGACATATGCCACTGTGAAAGTAACTCTCTGATCCTAAATTTCGATTAACATAAATGCAATGCTTTTATATTCTACATCAGATATCTTGATTCGTTAATGGGGTTGGTTTATATAGGGAGGCGGGCACACGCTAGAGTATAAACCAGTGGAGAGCTCAATCTTGTTCAAGAGGTGGATAAGTGGCCAACCTCTTTAAACCTAAGAACCTTAATCGTGGAGTTAACTATCTGATTATTGTTGAAGTTAAAAATATTTTGTTTCCGAATGCACAGAGAGATACATTATGTTATTGTTGTATTGATAGATTTTTTTTTTCATTGTTTTGGACCGATTTTTGCAATTTGCTTTCAACTAGACCGTACGTTGAGTCTCCAAGCATCGATACATAATTAAAGTTCAAAACGTGGAAAATGATTAGAAAACAAATTTATTCCAAGTTTCATGAAGTAACATTAAGGATTAGTTACAATAGTCACATGAGCTAAAGTTGTCTACCTTCTCTTATGAGGTAAGGTTGGTATACTCTGCTCATTCCTAAAGAAATTATCCGGATCTACATCGGTTTTCACCCGAACCAACCGATCAAAATTCTCCCCAAAATACTTCCTTCCGTAGATTTCCCCCTTTCGGTAACTATCCGCTCCATGATCATTAACCCCGATATCGACATCCCTATAGTTCAAATACGAGCTCCTAGGGTTTTTCGACACGAACGGGGTCACGATTCGATAGGTTGTTCTTAAATTACCAACGTAAAGCCTGTCCGCCTCTGGTCCAGCATCAGACCAAGTCGTTGAATGTTGGATTTTGTATAGTTTGTGCCTATGCGGAAACGCCGTTGCGTTCGTTGCGGTCGCGTTTAGATTCCCTCCGTATGGATTCAAAACCAAACCGGTTCTATCTAATACCGCCAGTTGCTGAAACAACCGGTTTAGTTCCGGTTTGGTAATCTCCTTCTCCACGTAATCCGATTTCCTCTTGAGAAATTTAGCCGAGTCCGGTTCCCTTTCGAGTAAAACATCCAGTTTTGACTTTCTCCACGTCTTTGTGGTTCATCCACCACAAGAGTGACTGGATCCACGTCATCTCCTTACAATCCTCTATCTTTAGACCCAACTCAGGGAACTCCTTCGCCATCATTGAAACGACGTCGTTAGCCTTTCCCAAATACAAAGCTCTTACCTTAGCGTTCACCGTTTGTGTCTTGTTCTTGGTCGGAGAGGCTAACAAAACTCTTATGAACAGACCAGGGTCTGTTCTTGGAGCCACGAACTGCCATTTATGGACCATGTCGAGGGCATTTTGGTCCGACGATCTATCTACCCTGAAGACGGTGACGGTTTTAGGAACCTCCACGAGTTTCACCTTGAAAGCCAAAACGACGCCGAAGCTTCCGGCTCCGCCACCTCGTATCGCCCAGAAGAGATCCTCCCCCATCGCTTTCCGATCAAGAACTCGGCCTTTAGCGTCGACGATGGTAGCGTCAACGACGTAATCTACCGTGAGACCGAACTTCCGAATCATGTGCCCGTATCCGCCGCCGCTTACGTGTCCTCCGACGCCGACGGTAGGACAGATTCCGGCGGGGAAAGCGTGTACATCGCTCTTCTCCCAAATCCTGTAGAAAAGCTCACCGAGCGTGGCTCCGGTTTGTACCCAAGCGGATCCTCCGTCCTCGTTCATATCGACGGTGATGTTTCGGAAGTTAGAGAGATCGAGGACGATGAACGTTACGGCGGCGACGTAGGAGAGACCGTCGTAGTCGTGACCGCCGCTCCGGATCTTCAGCTGGAGATTCAGCGTTTTGGTGCAGACCACGGCGGCTTGAACCTGGGAGTCGACACGTGGCAGCACGATGACCGACGGTTTCGGCGTCGAGGAGGTGTTGAAACGAGCATTTCGGATGTATGCGCGTAGGACAGGGGTGTACGAAACGCTAGTATGGGACAAAACGACGTCGGTTAGATCCTTGTCTGAGATGTTTGTCTTGTTTTTGAAACATCCGACGAAGTCTTCGTAGACATGCACGGGATCTGCAATGCCCGGTGATGAATACGATGCAGCAAAGAAGAGAAGAAATATAAGATAGTACGTTTTATTCATTCTCTCACTTTTTAATCCTTTTGTTCACTTTTCAGTGTTTGAGAGATTTGGATAAATAGAATAATTTTGTGGCTTTTGCTGAGAAATTAAAATTAAAAATGACGAAATTTTTGGCCTTGGGCGAAAGTGCGGCTACTTTGAATATTTCTTGGTCAAATCTTACCAACTTTCATTATGGTAAGTTTAATTACGTCAATTACAATCTGACGTAATATATTATCCTCACAGTTAAAGTGCTAGGAAATTGACAAGCGTATCAATTATGATCCGTAGAAATTGTCCACAAATAAATACATAAGAAAGTTAAATAAAGATTTTGAAGAGAAAATGGTAGGATATCAGGAGTTCTTTTATATAAGGAATAATATATTTTGCAAATCATGAAGTTATAATGTCATCAAAATAATAAACAGAAATACAAATATGCGCATGAAGTACACAAAAAGTATTTTTCATAAATTATAATTTTCGAAAAACAAATAAAATTATCAGTTGTATGGTCAAATATCTAATCCTTTTATGATTTATATAATACCACTATAAACCAATGCTCACTTTTTCGCCAAACAAACAAATTTTATTAATAGAAATTAGATGACTTCCCGTAATATCAAAATAATATTATTTAAATACACTCATCATAAATAAGATTTGTATATATTTGAATATATATTTGATAAACTAAATTTATTAAGAAAAATAGATAGATAAAAATTGATTGGTTAATATTGGAAAATATCATTAAATTTTATTTCATTATACTAACACATGTATCTTTGTTTTTGAAACTGATAACCATATATGAGTTCTAATATATATATATCTAATATTTAAGTTTGAAAATATTTTATTATAATACTTGGATATATAATATAAATTTATTTTGGAGTTTTAATCAATATTAGAGCTTGACCCGCGCAATGGATGTATGTTTTCCTTTTTCATAAATATTTTTTTATAAGTGATAATATATATTTTGTAATTTTACCTGATTAAATAATTATTGAATATGACATTTCTAAACACAAAATTTTATAGTTTATATGAAATATACATAAAAATATATATTTATATATTAATTTATATTATATATATTATATAACTGGTTCTTGTTAAATTTAGGTATGTTTTATGATTTTTAAATTTGATAAAAAGATAATAAATGCTAAAAGTTAGATTTAGATAGTTTCTTAGTGACATTAAAGTTTAATTAAATTTTTTATTTATCATTTTTGGTAAATATATTAATTAAGTAGGAAAGACAAATAATATAAAGTATGTATATTAATTATTTGAGTGGCATAAGGTTGTAAATAAGTTGTAAATCTAAGGGTAATTATTATTTTATTCTATTTTAATAATAATATAGATTAATTAATAAGTGTGGTTTAGTTGTGTATGTTACAAAAAACTAGTTTAGTTGTGTACACAATTAATCAATAACATTAGATTAATTTCAATAGCTTTTGAAATATGATAGAAATATCTCACCAAATATTCTCAAAGCATTGGTGTATTTATTTGCTTTTATATTTAATATAATAAAGATTCTAATTAAATATATCGATAAATTCAGATAATTTGAAGAAACTTTAGATATAAATGATTTTGCTCGTCTTATAACTATGGATTCATATGATGAAGATTAAAATCATCAAACTGCAATCAAATATACTATATATTTCATTACAACAAACTATAAATTAGTTGTTTAAAATAATTTATATATTAAAAAATTAAACCACATATTCTATAAAAATAATTTTAAAGATTTCGTAAAGTATAATATTTAATTTAATATAATACATAATGTTTTTGAAGATATATTCTTAAAATAAATTTTTCTCTTTTGCTTCCACTTATTTAATCAATATGTGTTATACTTACGAAGAATTTAAAATATAATTACAATGTCGTTCAACTCATTATGTATATATATTTTTAACTGGAGAACGATAATAAAATTATAAACACATACTATATAATATTTACATATGATAGAGTTTCTACTAATTAAAATCTCTTACAAATTAATTAATGTATATTACGCTACATATCTTCTAACAAATATGATTTTAAAGATTTATTGAACAAAATATTTAGAATTCTATTATAATATTTATATCTACCTATTTAATAAACTTTCAAATCATAGTATAAATTAAATTGATTAGTATAAATTTTAACTAATGACCCATTACTCAAATTACCTAAAACTATGGAAAATATGTTAAATAATCAAGACCACTTCTCAAATAATAGTATGAACTAGATTCTGATTCACGTTTTGAAAGCGAGAGACTATTTTTGTTAACAAATTTGTTAAACCGTTTGATTCTTCACTGATATGTTTAGCTATGAGCTTTCGATTTCGATTCAGGTTCAGTTTGTTTTTCTATTGGTTTTTGGTTTGGTTCCATTCGGTTGTATTTTTTGTTTTGTTTTCGGTTCAAGAGATATAGGAACCGCTTGGTTATTTATGAATTTGAGTTTCATTTCGGTTTGGTTATTTTGGATTTCAATTTGGTTCGAATAACAATTTTAAGTATCCGATAAAAAAATTAGTTATGATTTGGGTCCTTTTTTGGATAATTTTAAATATTGCAGGTAAAAAATAAAATTCAAGGATTTTTGATAAAATATCAGATAACTCGGATAATTTCAAAAATTTGGATAAAAATGTTCACGTGTTCACTCTTATCAGGGAATTATGATAGTTTTAAATATTTTGGACAAAAAGTAATATGATAAACGGTTTTTGATAGTTAGGTTTATAAATAGTATATTTAAAATATTTGATATTTAAAAAATATATATAATTAATATTTTTAGGTATATAAAATCTAGTTTGGATTGTTCAATTCTAAGTTTGGTTCTGATTTGGTTTCAGTTTTTTGTGTTCCAAAGATATACAAAACCGTGCAAATATTTGTTGAATCGGTTTTTGTTTCAATTTTTTTGTTTAGTTTAGTTTTTTTGTTCAGTATCAATTCAGTTTTGATTATTTATTTATATGCTAAGGCTTATGTCTTGTAGTTGATAAATAACTAATTTAAAAGTATTTTTAATGATAAATTTTAAAAATAAAATACTAAATCTGTTGTCCTATTAAAATCGTTACAAATATCTACTTATATATTCCTATTGTATTTGATAAATAAATTTTAAAAATTATTTTATTATATTTTATAAATAAAATATAAAAACTTATGGTTAATCAGTATGACATGTCTTGTATTTAATTAATAACTAACTAGGATAAGACCTGCGTCTTGTTATTGGTGAATTTATATGAAAATTATTTAAGAAATATTTTATGGAAAAATAAATTTTATATTCTTATCAAAATAATATTTTTGACTCTTACACAAGTTTTTAAAAACATCTTTGTTAATTACATAATTGTTGACTCATGAGCTGATCCCATTTTTAAAATATTTTTGGTCAAAAACACACTTATCGCATAAGAACTTAATGCTTAGGCCGAAGAATCTCAGGTCTACTATTTCGTTACAATGAAATTTTAATATGGATATTTATTAAATGAAATTTCTACTCATATGATTTTATGATTATTTGCATATTTGTGTAACAAAAATTTACACTAACAATTTTTTTAATGTGGAATGTTTAGTGGTTTCAATAATTTATAATCATTTAAAAAACAATGAAGATTTCAAAATATAATTATGTATTTCATATGATATATATTTTAGTTTAAACAGTATGATATATATATATATATTAACATAAATACCTATTAAAATAAAATTATTTATTCATATGATTTTGTAATCATTGTATCTTATTATAAAGAAAAAATTAAACCTTGATTACAAAAGTTTATGTGAGACATTTAATAGTTTTAGTAATTTATACTCGTTTTAAAAAATTCAAAATATAACATATATAAAAAAAATTTAAATTTTGATTATATGAATAATGTAATTATGTAATTTATTTTAATAATAAATAATTAAAAATGATATAAAGTGTACAGATTATTAGAAATTTTTTAAAATTTATAATCATTAATTGTCATATATATCGTAATTCTGTAGGTTTTATTTAAGGAAAAAATATATATAATAAATTTCAATTTTATAAAAGAATGGTCGATAATTGACATACTATAAACTATAAGATTTCCTAGCAATTTAATTTTGGACTAAACAAAATTACCATTTCAATTACATGACAACTTAGCAGGACACTTTTTTAATTAGTACAAACTACAAGTTATAAAATTTTTAATGTTTCTTCTTTAATATATAAGAGATTTAAACATATTTTAATGATAAGTTTTAAAAATAAAATTTAAAAATATTATCATATTAAAATCATTGCAAATACCCATTTATATACTCCCATTGTACTTGATAAATAACTAATTTACTTCATTTTAATCATAGATTTTATAATAAAATATTAAAACTGTTATGATTAACTAATATGATAAAAGGCAAAATCTTACTAAGTTTTCATTACTGTGTTAATATTTCTAAAACCGATTGTTTTGAATAAACAATTAAATATTGGTTAGTAAGATAAAATCTCTTGGCGTTAATATATAGTCTGGTCGAATATGACATGTGAAAATTAATGTTTATTTTAGTTCAAAGTATGAAATCTAAGTATGAAATCTGCGTTTCGTTCTAGATGTAGAGGGGAGAATACGAGTTGTCGTCTCGAATCTAACTCTTGGTGTAGATCGTCTGGTTCGTTTACTCGGAGTGTTTCGATTTTCGCGAGTGTTTAGATGTGGGCGAAGAGACATGCCATTAGGATCTCGATTCATGCCTTGAGACGTTAGAGACCAGTGTGCTGGGTTTAGGGCAAGACCTAGGTTTACTTTCAGATTGAGGCTATGCGATGACTAGTCGGCTTTCGTTTTGCCTGTTGTGATTTTAACCTGATTCCATACCGATTTAGAATCCGCGATAGGTTCTCGGCTTATACGATTCGTCTGGTTGGAACCGAGCATCTCACCGGGAACAATTTCTAAGTTGCCCGGAAGTGCTGACCAAAACTTTAGATTTCTTTTATAGCGTGCTATTTTATCCTAGTCGGATGTATGTAGACCAATGG